TACAAAAATCCGGGTCCACATGCATTTCATGCCAAACTATAAATCAGAATCACATGTGCTCCCTGACAGAGACAGAGACATGTGACAGCTGTGATTGGATGAAATAGTGTGAGATGTTTATGCTTTTTAAAAGCACATCCATCCAGTAATTAAAACTGACCACAATTTTATTTACCACAAAGTATTTAGTGCTGTCATTTTTATCACCATCACTTATGCTTATTGTGTGTACAGATATTTTCCAGTATGTGACATTTGGTGCGGAACTGGGGTTGATGTGTTCCGCTTCCTATGCTCGAAAAATGAGCAGGACAATTTGCCCAGAAATTGTGTTTTGTTGTTGTTTAAAAGCCTCACTGTACCCATGTGTACCTGGAATGGCTGTTGATAGCCTTGATATTTTATTTAAAACTCAAACGGTTACTATAGAAGTCAGTGGGAAAACATTTGGTGTTGTGTAATGTGGTAGCATGCCACGGGCGCTTCGTAGAAATGCCTCATTCGCCGTAAGCACACCGTGATATCTCCATCTTGTGAATTTTTTAAATAGAAGTGCAACATTTCCTCCGATCCCACGGCGCTCCGAAAATTTTCACAACTCCGTGGAAACGCGGTAGAGTAGAGCAAGACGAGTTGTTTGTGTTTCTACCTGAGAAACGCGGTAAAACACGTGGAAACGATGCACGTGTATGTTATACGCCGTATAATATACACGTGCATCTGTTCCAGCTAGGGTTCACGCAGGAAGCAAAAGTTCCTTAAAAAGTATTTCAGATATGATTTACGAAAGGAAAATGGATGTTCCTCTGACATTTATTCTAACAGATCGCGCCGTGTACTGTCAGATCAATCGCCAGTGCGAGGTTTAAATGTAGGACGAGTAGGGTTTTCTATATCTTCTGAGATGTTATACACTTCCGGGCAAAAAGAAAATACACATGAACATTGGACTGACCAAATAATTACAAACATTACCAAAACTATACCACCTTGAAAACAGTACCAAAAACAATGAACACATCCGGTCCAAACACAACACTGTACCAAAAAACACACATCACCATTGTCTAACCATTTGTTGTCAGATTAATTGGCAGTCATCATCAAACACGTGTTTGAACTTTCTTGTTTTGCCCGGGAGATATATATGACATATGAAAGAGGTCAAATGTTTAAATGAATACGATTAATTTCTTAGAAATGGGGCATATTGGTACAGAAAAGGTCCTTATTTTCCACATTAAAATGAAGAGCATTGATAGCTTCAAATCGTTGTTGCGAGTTGGGTGTGTTTTGTTTAATTACATTCGTCAAAACTTTATAACTTGACTGTGAGTCATGACAGCTGAAAATATACTGAGGGAAACACATAAAGGAACACCACTTCGTGGCAATGTTCCTTTATTTCTTCTCAGATTTCCTCCCACAGCGCTATTCAAAGTTGGTGATGAAAACTGGAAATATTAAAGGAACGCTTGAATTTTCCTGTGTTCCCTTATTTGTTTCTCTTAGTATATCTGGGTCGGGTGACAAGGCTCTGTGTTTACTGTCTGTAACTGGACTCGGCGATGTTCAAGCTGCAAAATATAGAATCTGAACCAGGTAAACAGTGGTTGCCATCATGAGCATCGATCTACACATTTGTGATACGATGACATGTACCAGATCAGGCTCTCTGACCACCCGATCCCGTATGCTGCCTTTTTACAACAAGCGAGAGTGTTTCAAAATGTGTTACATTAGGCTGTCGTGTTAATTTCGTAATTTCCCATCTCAGACCCTGAGTGGATTGTCACTCGACGTTAAATGATAAAATGTTGTGTCATTCATATTTTCTCCGCCGCTATGGAAATGTATACCATGGCACGGCATGATAAAACTGATGATTTTAGGGGGGGGGAATTTTTTCTGGGGAGCTAGGGGGTCATCAATTTTGTACATCAAAATATGTTTAAAATTATGCTTAGAAATTATGGGAAGGGAAGGGGGAGTCATTGATTTTGTACATGACAAGCAGGGGTGTCACTTATTTTGTACGTACATTTTAGGGGGGGTCGTTCACATTGTACATGCTTCTCCATAAAAATCATCATCTACCCCCCAGCCATAAATTATGAACGGTCCCTAACTATACAACAGTGCATGACTGGAAGAGGAAATGTTTGGGTGCGTTAATCCAAGACAGAGTGCGGTCTATATGCATGTTGGCATGGTGATACGTTATACCTTCTCCTAAGTCACGCGGATTCCCTACAAACATGAGTAACACTTCAAACAAGGTTCGTCTGTTGTTTAACGCCGCAATGTCCCATCTATATGACGCCGGTCGGTAAATACTCGTCGGGAACAGACAATCCAATGATCAACATCATGAGCATCTATCTACTCAATTGGGATACAATGACATGTTTGTCAACCAAGCCAGCGAACCTGACCACCCGATCCCGTTAGTCGCCTCTCGACAAGCATGGGTTACTGAAGACCAATCCTAACCCAGATCTTCACGGGTAATTCAGTTACAGACATGCTAATCTTGCACGTGATATGACAGAACAATTTAAATACTTCTAACCCGGATCTTCTCGGATTTGTCTGGGCTTGGATTAGGCCTGTGGCTCAAATCTCATCGCGACTCGGAAATTTCATGGCCACTACTCAGGAACTGACATCATGAACAAAAATCCATGAATTAAACAGGACACCGAGCCAATAACAATCACATACTTATCAGCAACTGTGAACTACTACTATAGTCTGTTTGCAGTGAAAACGTACCGATGAAATTCACTTTAAACAAAAAGTAAATCAAATAAAGTGAAATTAAGATTGCGAATCCTCATATTTTTACCTTGCCAATTAAACATTTACATTTCAGAATTTTTTTCAGGTTAGGATAAAAGTTGTTTAACAAACGATCATAGATTCAAATCGCTATTATTGGTTTGTATTACAAGGGAGTAAACGCAGTAGTTGGAACAGCGATGCAACTGCACGTGCAGTACGTGATGAGCGTTAACTTAGACCAACCCTACTTGTTCTCGTTGTTTCATCTAATGTGCATACTCCCTTGTAATACAAACCAACAATAGCGAGGTGAAACTATCATCGTTTGTTAAACAACTATTATCCTAAGTTGAATAAAATTCTGAGATTTAAATGTTCAATTGGCAAGGTAACATCATGAGGACATTCCCACTTCTAATTTCACTTTATTTGATTTACGTTTTTGTTTAAAGTGAAATTCATCGGTACGTTTGAACTGCAAACAGACTATAGCAGTTACAAAGACAGCCGTTCCGCCACTGAAGACTCGCTAACAGCAATACATGAATATACATGACCATATTCGACATTGTCATATTTGTCATCCTAAGCAGGCATCTTGAGGCGAGGCAACATGCAGTAGGTTGTACGGTTTCCGTCTATATTTCACCTTAGTTTTACCGGAGATAAAAAACAAACCGACGACAGATATCCCCTGCTGTACCGGACACACCGTGTTCCAACATGGCGTGAGATGTACCCCTGTGACTATACAGACTAGTACGGTTACACTTAAACAAACACCTAGACTCTAAAATAAACAGATTTTTACCGAAAAGGCGGCTTCTGAATTATGTTCGTAAAATATATTAAAAGGAGAAAGAGACTTTCTTCATGTTTGAGCCTGAAACTATAGTAATTTAGACTTACATGTGCTGTATTGGGTATATGTGTTTAGGGGTCTGTATGACAGACTAGGCCATCCCATATTAATTTGTTGGTGTTAGCTAGTAGTGATAGTAAATGTTAGTCTCCGGTCTTTGTAACTGCTAGTAGCATCACACAGTTTCTGACAAGGACGTACTGGTTGTAGGTAATATTCCTTGGATCCGGTGAAGCAAGCATGTTGCAGTAGCTTACACAGTGGCCGACATTTAAAACCCTTGTTTATAACGCATCAAGTTGTGCCATAAACATATGGGTCCACATGTCTCTATTGGCCCCTTGACATTATTTGCACCACATCAAAGTGTTAAAGATCACATATACTCTAGGGGATACAAATACGTAAATCACTAATTGGCATCGTTATAAATGAAACCCCCTCATTAAAACTACTCATTTCGATCTTTAATTGGGCCGTTATTGCAAGGCTTACTATACCGAAAGAAATTTTTCTTGACTCGGGCTATGGATAAGTGGCTGAAATCGGTGGCTCAGATAAGCACAAGCAGTTCTAAGGCGAGGTACATCCCGTTTTGAACAGACCTGTCACTATACAAGAAATACCCCTACCTTATTCTGGACATAACCCACGTGTAAAACTATTGGATCTTTGAAATAAAACCTAGTATCCTCAAAAGAGGGCAGGCGTCATTTGGGTAGGCGTGTAGCTAAAGTGTTCGCTCGTCACGCCGAAAACCCTAGTTCGATTCCCCACAAGGACACAGCGTGGTAAGCCTATTGCTGGTGTCTCTCGTCGTGATGTGTTTCTGGGATCTTGCTGAAAGCGGCATAAAGCTGTATCCACGTACTCACTTTAAAACTAATTCAACTAGAAAACACAGCAACACAGAGGCAACTCACCAAGGACAAGTTTCACACTAACATCCAGATCGTCTAAAGCAAGGGTATTATAACAAATCTCCGAAAAATGTCACACACAAAATATTGTAGGCCTACTTTATTTCTGTTTGCAGCAGTTATGCAACACATGTGAATATAAGTTGTTCGACTCGTATCCTGATCTGAGTCCTTGGCGATAGATCTTAAGACATATGGCGGTATGAAAAGGAGTATGAATAATGCCCGCAATATGTTGACATTGATAAATTGAAAGTTATTTCACTAAACTTTATTAAACTAAATTTTATTAAACCCAGCTTCCAGAGCCAACGTTTCAAGTTTTAACACAACACGATCTTGGAGAGGATAGCTGATAAAAACAAACAAAAAATACAAACAGACGAGTAAAGGGACGCTACTCTATATAACTGTGATTACCTCCCTTAATTCACTCTCTATTCGCTAGGTAGAGGTGGGAGGGGATTTCCAGGTTTTCGTGTCTTGTGACACTGATTCCAGCCATTTCAAAATGCAGAATATCATCAACTCCGTGAAGGGAACTGCCCTTGGAGTTGCAGAATATCTCACACCGGTTTTGAAGGTAACACGTTAGTCTATTTGAAAAATAATCATTGCGCAATGTTCACTTTCTCATTTGATGTTTTCTGTGTTTTGGTAATTTACATTAGCTGTCACCTCCTTTGACTGTTATCTGTCATATGGACTAAAATCGCCTTAATCAGTCATTCAGGTGGGAAACTTTCATTGATAGTGATTTTTTAACCCATATTTGTATGTGAGTTTTGACTGTAGACCTAGTGTATGTGTCAACGTTGTACAACCGGTAGATGTTGGTATATCGATATGATCCATTTAGAACCATATCTGAAGACAAAATGGTTCCCAGGGTGGATCGAGTCTGTTCTTAAGTGCACACTTGCTTAGACCAAAGACGTATACAACGTCTATATACGTATAGAGGATATTATATGAGGGCCCATGTCATTCTATTTTTACGACACGAGTGCCTAAATGTTCGTATTTCCCGAACGAGAGCGAGGGATACACTGATATTTAGGCATGAGTGTTGTAAACATAGTATGATATGGGAACTAATATAATATTCTATTTATTACTGAAGTTGTCAGATTGAGGAAAATAAACCCAAATCTACTTTCAAACATAGGTTGGCTACCCGCCGTCGTCGCATGTATATAACGCAACGTCATAGAAGAAAAGCGATGTCATAGCATTGTTCATGACGTCACGTCACCAGGACAAAGTGGTATTTTGCCCTAGGGCATCGTATGAAAAATATGAACCCCGATATGTTTGCCCTTGTAGGTAATAAATATACGTCTTTGCATTGACCAGACCTGTTGTATGACAAGTATGGTAGTAAACATGTATCTAAATGTCAGTGAACATTGGATTTGTCAGAGTGAGTGAGTTTAGTTTTACGCCGCACTCCGCAATATCCCAGCTATATGGCGGCGGTCTGTAAATAATCGAGTCTGGACCAGACAATCCAGTGATCAACAGCATGAGCATCGATCTGACCAATTGGGAACCGATGACATGTGTCAACCAAGTCAGCGAAACTGACCACCCGATCCCGTTAGTCGCCTCTTACGACAAGCATAGTCACCTTTTATGGCAAGCACATGGGTGCTGAAGACCTATTCTAACCCGGATCTTCACGGGTGGATTTGTCAGAGGAATCTGTCATACTGTTGTATTTGATGTATCCCAGGTTGAATGAAACCAAGCATAAACACTGCTTTACTTTATTTCTACAATGTACAGTATTCGCTCATCAAACACACCCATTTTGGTTTGCAAATATGGACTCACCTTGTGTTTTGGGTACCCGATACCATTTTTATTCTGATTTTGGTACCCTGTACTTATCAGTATATCAGGAAGTACCTTGGGTACATATCTAGTGTCTTTAGTATTGACAACTCCTTCAGTGATAGTTAACAATCAACCTAGTCCAGTATCATTGGTCAGTAACTGATGACGGACATATTGACCAATCATGTCAGTTGTAGCATGTTGAATGGATACCGTTATGCAAAGTTTGCCTCTTTTTCCAGGAGTCAAAGTTTAAGGAAACAGGAGTGATCACACCAGAAGAGGTAGGTACTGGACATGATTCAATTTCGTCATTTCAGTTTTGATTCCTGGGTTAAAACATTACAGTTAACATGGTCAGGATTAATAGTGTAATTGATCTTCAATAACCCGTTTGTTATGAGAGACTGACTGACTAAGTTTAGTTTTACACGGCTTTCAGCAATATTCCAGCAACATCACGGTGGGGGACACCAGAAATGGGCTTCACACATTGTGCCCATGTGGGGTGTTGTGAGAGAGGATGAATGAATAAGAGGGTCAGATGCGGTAATGTAGTTGTTGCATAACTTTGCATCCCAGTTATGTAGATGTTATGTCGATGTTATGTCAATGGATGTTCATAATGTCAGTCACTGAGTGGTCTAGTCCAGATTCAGATTACTTTCAGACACTAGGGGCGGTTGGGTAGCCTAGTGGTTAAAGTGTTCGCCCATCAAGCCGAAGACCCGGGTTCGATTTCCCCATGGGCACAATGTGTGAAGTCCATTTCTGGTGTCCCCACCGTGATATTGCTGGAATATTGCTAGAAAGCGGCTTAAAACCTCACTCACTTTCAGACACTCATCATATAGCCGGAATTTTGAAGCGTGCGTCTTCGAACAACAAACAAACAATTGATGATTTGGATGCTTGCATGCTGTCTTTAGTCACTGGTTTGTGTGGCTCAGAGACAGACTTCCTTGTTTATATGTTGCTGTGATATAGTTTCAATCTTGTTGAGTGGCCAAATGAACGTTGCGAACCACATTAATATAGAAACTGCAAATTTGTTTACCTTCCCAATATGCAACATTGGCCACTTGTCCAAAGCTTGTGTTGAGTAAAGCTCAACATGATGCTAAGAGACAATTTTTATTTGGCAGACTCAAACGCTTCGGCACAGATGCTGTCATGATGTTTTAGTAAATTGATTTGTCACTGCTTAGTAGATATAACAGTTAATGCATGAACCACAAGTTACTATGGTTACATGAATCCTGAGCTGAGACCGCCATTGTTTGTTCAGTTTGTTGCAGCAGGGGATCACATCGTACATCACTGTCCAACATGGCAGTGGGCTTCGGGAGACGAGGCTAAAATCAAACCATATCTTCCAAAAGACAAACAGTTCCTCATCACCAGGAACGGTAAGCTGATACAGATTACATGATGTGGCCTAGTGCTTTAGGGACCATTCCTAATTTGTGGCTAGGGGGGGGTGATTATGATTTTTATGGAGAAGCATGTACAATGTGAATGACGTGTGGTATGTTTGTGATTCAGTGCCATGCTACAAGCGTGTGATATGTTTGTGATTCAGTGCCATGCTACAAGCGTGTGATATGTTTGTTATTCAGTGCCATGCTACAAGCGTGTGATATGTTTGTTATTCAGTGCCATGCTACAAGGGTGTGATATGTTTGTTATTCAGTGCCATGCTACAAGCGTGTGATATGTTTGTGATTCAGTGCCATGCTACAAGCGTGTGATATGTTTGTGATTCAGTGCCATGCTACAAGCGTGTGATATGTTTGTGATTCAGTGCCATGCTACTGCCATGCGTGTGATATGTTTGTGATTCAGTGCCATGCTACAAGGGTGTGATATGTTTGTGATTCAGTGCCATGCTACAAGCGTGTGATATGTTTGTGATTCAGTGCCATGCTACAAGCGTGTGATATGTTTGTGATTCAGTGCCATGCTACAAGCGTGTGATATGTTTGTGATTCAGTGCCATGCTACAAGGGTGTGATATGTTTGTGATTCAGTGCCATGCTACAAGCGTGTGATATGTTTGTGATTCAGTGCCATGCTACAAGCGTGTGATATGTTTGTGATTCAGTGCCATGCTACAAGCGTGTGAAGCAGATGGATAACCACCAGGAAGAGCAGGAGAAGGTCATCGAGGAGGACGACGAGGACGGCGGCTGGGTTGACACTCATCACTTCCCTGGTAACACTCACTTACAACCCGTGTAATTGGTCTTCAGCAACCCCTCAAGTGAAACTGAGACATACTGCTAAGTCTCAGGATGAGTTAGGCATGTTGAGAGTGACATAATACAATCCTCACCACTCCCATCATAAAACTGAAACTTTGTGCTCAGTTGACGCTATTAAATAGTAAAAAATACAATAAGTAAATTAAATTGATATACAGGGATGAGAATTTTCCGCGGAATTCCAGGAATTTCATAAGGCCAAGGGTAATTTTTGTGACTCGTCTAAATCGCCCTGGACCCGGTTTGGGGCCTGTGGCCCCCAGACACCCAGCTAGTTTTCAGATTCTTTTTCAGAGAGATCGTCCTTGGGGTACATATTATGCATTTTCCGGCTGAAAAATGTCCTGTGACAGTTGTATCAATGTTTTTTGAATAAAAAGATTGAACAATAAATAAACTCTTTTATTTATTATACGGCCCCTACCTCACGGAGTTACCTCCCGTTGCGCATGCGCACCAACTGGGTAGGCTCCTAGACCCGTATCATCATTCCTTCTGCTGTCACTGCCATGAACAGACGTATGTTGAATACTTCATGAGCCGGACGCAGCTGAACTTTCTGACGAACCAGAAATTGAATATGTCTCAAACACCTCCTGTATGTATGGTCTTTATTTGCTTATGAAAAGGAACAGTAAAGCTTTACAGTTGGTTGTTTCATAATTGTGACTTTGTATTAATTCTAATACTCGAACTTTCCCGTGGTTTACACACGTGTTGCTCTGCCATGGCGGGAAGTTTAGTGTGCCATGTGGTCGTAATATTGCGTATTAAAACCAACTATTACTTTCCGTGGTAACCTTCACATATTTTTCAATGTTTTCTACGTGTTTATATGCTGCTGGCCGTTAGCTACATGCTTGCGTGTTTGCTTTCAGGCCTTTTCATCCTGTTCGGTCTGTGGACAGAGTATTCCATGGGCCGACAGGCATGAGCAATGCGTTGCCTGTCTTGAGAAGACTGGTCACGATGCGGACTCTTGTCCCATATGTCTTGGGTTTTCCCCCCGGGCCCAAAAGAGGAGGGCGACGGATACGCTCTTCTACCGGGAGATGCATGAGGCGGGTGGGGAACTGACGCAGGTCCCCCCGTCTAAAGCTAACAAGCCGTCAAAAAAGGGAAAAAAATCCCGTGGCCAAGCCCACTCTCCCGCCAGTACTGGTGGCTTTGACATGTCTATAATGGAAACCTTGTTTCAGCAGCATATGGACTCTGTGAAGTCCCTCGCTCGCGGAGTCAGTTGGAGGTCTCCCGCAGGAGTTCCTCGCCACTCCGGACGGGGCGAGAGAGTCAGGGTGGGATCGCTGGTTCGCTCGATCCTCAGCCTTGAGGCGCCTGTTGACCCGCTGCCTCTGGCTTCGGGTCCGACGCCCGCTGCCCCGGGAGGGGGAGGTGCTCCCAGTCCCCTCTCGAGTTGGCGCAGGGACCGCTGAGTATTCCTGGTGTTCCGGTCCCTGCGCACTCCCGCCCCATGAGAGCGGAGGCACCAGTTCTGCCTGGCCTGCCTCCAGCGTCTCGGGACCGGGGTCCATGCACGCCTGCTGGCGCCGATGTGGAGCAGTCTGTCTGCTCTTCCCTTTCTGTGCTTCCTAGCGTTAGGCAGCCCACCGGGTCGGGGTTAGGGTCTTCTTTCCGAGGAGACCCAGCCTCTGACTCGGGCTCGGGCGCCGAGGCGATATGGAGCTTGGGGAGGTTGAGGAGCATGACGGAGGCTTCCGTTTTGCTTCGGCTCTGCGGGAGGTCCGGCAAAGAATCCGAGGACCTACCCCAAGCCGCGGTGCCTGTTGGTTGCGTGGACTCGGCTGAGTTCCGCTTGCCTGGCGAGGCGTTTGCCCCTCGGCAACCCTCGCAGATGCAGCTCCGCATTTTGCCTTCGTTGGTCTCGGACGTGGTTGATCCCCTCTTGTCTGGTGCCCGAGTCCGGTTCGACTTGCCGGATCTCGTGCGGCGCTACCAGCTTGGGGAGGACTCCCTGTTCGTAGTTCCCATCGCTGACGAGTGGCGCGTGTTCACTCCGCCGCCCTGGGGAGGCTCGGCTTCCTTCGAGCAGCTCCCGCTGCTCGGCAAGGGCGCTCACTCCACCTTTTGCCCTCGCTGGCGCTTCTGCGCACGCTGCACCGACCTACAGAAGGTCTACCGGAACGCCGATGCAGCAGGTGCGGTGGTGGTGGTCCACGAGGCCTACCTCTCCTCGATTCAGAGGTCGGCCCTGGAGGCGGAGGGGCATGCTGGCGACGTTTTCGCCGCGATGTCGCGGCTTCTGGCCAGCAGCTCGGAAGTTCAGGCACACCTCGGCGACTCTTTTGCGGTCTGCAGCGCCGACGGTGATGTGCGCAGTCATGGGGATGCGCAAGCTGTGGCTGTCGACGCCTAGGTACTCGGCAGCAACGCAGTAGACCTTGCTGGCCCTCCCTTCCGCCTGGGGGAGCCGACCCTCTTTCCAGGGGCCCAGCAGGTCATACGGGAGGCTGCTGCTGCAGCTACCTCCTTCAAGGATTCTAAGGCCTTGTTGGAGCACCCGCTGGTGTCTCGCCGGCCCCCGCCTCCGCTCCACCTTCCTCCGGGGTGCAGCCTTCGCCGAGTCTGACGTAGGCTGGCTTCGCCGCCTTGGTGGTAGGTAGGCGGATGTCAGTCAGCTCTGCTACTAGGGTCCACGACACACCCAGTCAGCTCCGCGCTCCTACCCCATATCCCAGTGGAGGTCAGCTTCTCTATTCCTGCCGGAATGGGAGAAGGCTACCAACAACGCTTTGGGTGCTGGCCACGGTCAGCATAGGCCATTTACCACTGTGGAAGCGAGGTCCGCCCGACTTCACCGGGCATACGCCGCGACTCCGTGCCGCCATGTCAAGCCAGGGCGGACATATTGCGCCGACGGTTCAGGCTCTGCTGGACAAGTCCGCAATCGAAAGCATTCCACCGGGAGAGGAACAGGCGGGATTTTACTCCACGCTCTTCCTCGCCCCAAGAAAGACGGCGGGTTCCGGCCCGATTCTCAACCTCAAGGGGTTGAATCGCGATGCTCGAAGTACCATCCTTCAAGATGGAGACACTGCGCCGGTGATCTCATCTGTTCAGCCCGGCGATTGGCTCACGCCAATCGACCTAAAGTATGCGATATTGCATGTACCAATACATCCATCGCTCAAGCAGTACCTTCGGTTCTCTTACGACGGGATGTGTTACCAATTCAGGGTGCTCCCCTTCGCATATCGACTGCCCCAAGGGTGTTCACCAAGCTCATGTTAGTCCCAGCTACCCTAGCTCGCTCGCAAGGAAGGCGTTGTTACCCTTACCTAGACAACTGGTTGCTCGGAGCACTAACTCAGCCAGCGAAGTCAAGATGCTACTCACACAGTGATAGACATTCTCACTCGACTGGGGTGGATCATCAACCTCAAGAAACCGACCTGGTACCCACCCAGGACTTGGTTTTTCTTGGAGCGATTCCAAACTAACAAGGATCTCGCTTCCTTTGTCGCCCGACCGATCACCAGAGTTCGAGATGGTATCTTCGCTCCTCTCCCAGCCCCAGGCACCAGCACGGACTTGGCTCCGGTTTACTGGGCCATATGGCGCTTAACGATCTCTGTAGTGTGGCGGGCGGTTGAGGATGCGCCCTATACAGCAAGCTTTGGCTCGACTGTGGACTCACACGGAGGATCTGGAGCGCAGTCTCACAGTCCCCGAAAGTGGTTGACACCTCACCTTCAGTGGTGGACAAATGTCGGAATCTCACCAGGGGATCCCCTTTGAAATCCCGGACGCCAGCTCTCACAGTTCAGACCGATCGCGCCCTCACGGGCTGGGGTGTTCTGGCAGTCTGTCGGCATCCGGACTCTGGTCCGAAGTCAAGCCCACCTTCACATCAACGCGTTGGAACTGAGAGCTGTGCGGTTGGTATTTGAGCGCTTCAGAGAGCATGTCCGCGGGCCAGGTAGTCCGCCTTCAGTTGGACAACCAGACGGCCATGTCGCATATCCTGAAGCAGGGAGGCACGGTGTCCCCAGCGCCCTCCGGGAGGTGGGACTTTCTCCTCTGGTGCGACCAGTACGCATTGTCAGGTACTCCCTGTTTATCTCCCGGGCTGGAGAACGGCGCAGCAGATGCGCCTTCGCGGATCCTGGCCCCGCGACGAAAGTGGATGCTCGACAGGCAGATTTTCACAGTAATCTCCCAGTTGTACGGGTCGCTCCAGGTGGATCTGTTTGCGCCCGGGCGGACGATCAGACACCCGCGGTTCTGCTCTCGGATACCGGACCCAGGGCGCTGGCTGCCGACGCCTTCCTGCTGGATTGGACGGGCAAAGTGCTCTGGGCGCTCCCGCCGTTACCACTCATTCCCCGTGTCCTTTCACAGCTGTCCACCCAGCCAGCTCGGCTACTTTGGCCGTCACAGAGCTGGTTTCCGGTAATTCTCAGGTTTCTGGCTCAGCCTCCTGTTCTATTACCTTTACGACCGGACATTCTCACTCAGAACGGAGCGCCCCATCCAAATCCACGGATTCAGTGGGTGGCTTGGCCTCTGTCAGGTCTAACCTCGAGGCACGCGGAATTCCAGCAGCAGTTGCAGACACAATTCTGGCTTCGAGGCGGGATTCGACAAACGTTCAGTACACGGATAGGTGGTCCCGCTATGCGCGCTGGTGTTCAGATAGGGGGAATGCAGATCCCTTTTCTGCGGATTTAGTCCGAGTATTGGAGTTTTTGCAAGCTCGTTTGGAAGAAGGCCTGGCGGCTTCGACCATTTGTGGCTACTCCACCGCTATTTCCACTTTTCACACCCCTGTCGATGGTGCTCTTCTGGGGCAGCACCCTCTCATGCGCTTTCTTTTGCTGGCGCTGAACGGATTCGACCTGCTTAAGGCTTAACCAGTCCACCTTGGGATTTGTCAATTGTGCTCGATTGGCTGTCCGGTCCAACTTTCTCACACCTATCGGCTATTTCCATTCAGTTGTCAACTTGGAAAGTTGTGTTTTTGGTGGCGGTAACATCTGGACGTAGGGTCGGCGATTTACATGCTATGTCGTCCGACCCGGGCGCTGACTGTGTTTCACACGGATCGTGTCAGTATTCGGCCTCCCAGATACTTACCGACCGAAGGTCGATCACGCTTTCCATGTGACAGCTCCTATCAAACTTCCTACTCTTACCCAGCCTTCCACATCGGGGACCACTCCTACGAAAGCACTCACCCGCTGGATGTCCGTAGAGGACGCCAAAGTCTATATCAAACTAACGCAGGGAACTGCACGGGTACCCAGCTGTTCTGTTGTTACGGTGGCGGAAGGCTGGTCTGCCAGCGCAGCAAGCAGACTTTGTCTCGCTGGCTAGTTTCGTATTTGTGCTGCTTATCAGGCTAAGGGCAAGGCTCCCCTGAGGGGTTGAAGGCTCACTCGGTCAGGGCAGTAGCCGCATCAAAAGCTTTTGCATCGGCACTCCCCATTGAAGAGATCTGCTCTGCCGCTATTTGGAGCCGCCAAGCACGCTTATACAGCATTATCAGCTCGACACGCATTCCCGTGAATCGCGCGAAGCTTTGGCCGCATTGTTCTCTCCAGTGGACAGTGTCCTGCCACCCTGACCGAAAGTGAGTCTTGGTTTATTGGTCTGTTTTGACGCTACTGTACAATATTTGTATAATTGACATGTCTGCTACTGTGAGCTCACTCAGAGAACATGTACCCCCTTCGATTCTCTTAGGAGTTATTTGTCGACAGAGCGGTATTGCATTCCCCTCACGGTGCTCACTAATAGACACTTCGCGGGTGGGGCTTTATTGACATTCACACTATGTGCTTGTCTCATTATGCTAAATGGAGGTCGCTCTTTGAGTACAATTCCTCCCTGTCAGTTCCCTCCCATCATGCCTCTCAAGGAAGCTTAACTGGGACAAGTGACAGGTGAGTGTTATGGCGCCTGTTCAATTTTTTTCCATGATACGATCGCTATATTTTGTGTGTGCTTGGACAGAATTCCTCCTCCCCTGGCCTCCGGTCTTTGGGAGTCTGTGTTTATGCATAATATGTACCCCAAGGATCGATCTCTCTGAAAAGAATTAACCAAACCTGAAGAGGTTTTCAATTCTTTGAAGAGAGTCGCCCTTGGGTAGGGCCTCCCCGCCTCCTCCCAATTCTGTTCACTGATATATTCAGCAGAAGGAATGATGATACGGGTCTAGGAGCCTACCCAGTTGGTGCGCATGCGTAACGGGAGGTAACTCCGTGAGGTAGGGGCCGTATAATAAATAAAAGAGTTTATTTATTGTTCAATCTTTTTATTCAAAAAACATTGATACAACTGTCACAGGACATTTTTCAGCCGGAAAATGCATAATATGTACCCCAAGGACGACTCTCTTCAAAGAATTGAAAACCTCTTCAGGTTTGGTTAAGTTTTTCTCAAAACTTCATTCTCATCCCTGGATATATTTAATTATTCCTTTCATTTTTATGCTGGTTGTTCCAGGTGAGCAATCAGTTAGCGCAGTCGGGGATGCTGTTGCTGAGATGACGCTAGACCCAAAGGTAATAACTCCTCTCCTTCATAATCTAGACCCAAACATAATCATCATGTTCCCATCATGTTCCCATGCTCTTCCCACAGATTACTCAAGTCATATCTTCCCACATAACTTATGTTCTAATACAGCCATATTTTCCGGTTCTCGTGAGATCCCCTGGCGGCAAAAAATCGCAACACGAATTATCTCCCTTCTTTCTATCCAATCAGAACATGTGTTACATCGACTTAGATCCAATATGGCGGCCGCCATGGAGCTTGTTGATCAATATGTGAAGGATAGATTTGGTATTTCATGTTTAACTGAAAATCAGAAACTAGCAATAGAAAGTGGGGCCACAAATATCCCTCCTCTGCTGATGACTTATGCTGATATGACACACAAGACATTTAATGGCTAGCTTGTCCGTTGTCAACGAGGGCGATGGAGACGCCATTGATTATTATATCAAGTAATTCTGTGTGGTCGTGAGTTGTTCTGTGTAGTTCTGTGTAGTTCTATATAGTGTCATGAAGTTCCAGTAGTTCCATGCAGTTGTGTAGAGTTCCATCATAGTATGATGTAGTTCCATGCAGTCTTGTATAGTTCTGTATTATATCAAGTAATTCTGTGTGGTCGTGAGTTGTTCGGTGTAGTTCTGTGTAGTTCTATATAGTGTCATTAAGTTCCAGTAGTTCCATGCAGTTGTGTAGAGCTCCATCATAGTATGATGTAGTTCCATGCAGTCTTGTATAGTTCTGTATTATATCAAGTAATTCTGTGTGTGGTCGGAGTTGTTCGGTGTAGTTCTGTGTAGTTCTATATAGTGTCATGAAGTTCCAGTAGTTCCATGCAGTTGTGTAGAGTTCCATCATAGTATGATGTAGTTCCATGCAGTCCTGTATAGTTCTGTATTATATCAAGTAATTCTGTGTGGTCGTGAGTTGTTCTGTGTAGTTCTGTGTAGTTCTATATAGTGTCATGAAGTTCCAGTAGTTCCATGCAGTTGTGTAGAGCTCCATCATAGTATGATGTAGTTCCATGCAGTTCTGTATAGTTCTGTATTATATCAAGTAATTCTGTGTGGTCGTGAGTTGTTCTGTGTAGTTCTGTGTAGTTCTTTATTGTGTCATGAAGTTCCAGTAGTTCCATGCAGTTGTGTAGAGCTCCATCATAGTATGATGTAGTTCCATGCAGTCCTGTATAGTTCTGTATTATATCAAGTAATTCTCTGTGTGGTCGGAGTTGTTCTGTGTAGTTCTGTGTAGTTCTATATAGTGTCATGAAGTTCCAGTAGTTCCATGCAGTTGTGTAGAGTTCCATCATAGTATGATGTAGTTCCATGCAGTCTTGTATAGTTCTGTATTATATCAAGTAATTCTGTGTGGTCGTGAGTTGTTCTGTGTAGTTCTGTGTAGTTTTATATAGTGTCATGAAGTTCCAGTAGTTCCATGCAGTTGTGTAGAGCTCCATCATAGTATGATGTAGTTCCATGCAGTCCTGTATAGTTCTGTATTATATCAAGTAATTCTGTGTGGTCGTGAGTTGTTCGGTGTAGTTCTGTGTAGTTCTATATAGTGTCATGAAGTTCCAGTAGTTCCATGCAGTTGTGTAGAGTTCCATCATAGTATGATGTAGTTCCATGCAGTCTTGTATAGTTCTGTATTATATCAAGTAATTCTGTGTGGTCGTGAGTTGTTCTGTGTAGTTCTGTGTAGTTTTATATAGTGTCATGAAGTTCCAGTAGTTCCATGCAGTTGTGTAGAGCTCCATCATAGTATGATGTAGTTCCATGCAGTCCTGTATAGTTCTGTATTATATCAAGTAATTCTGTGTGGTCGTGAGTTGTTCTGTGTAGTTCTGTGTAGTTCTTTATTGTGTCATGAAGTTCCAGTAGTTCCATGCAGTTGTGTAGAGCTCCATCATAGTATGATGTAGTTCCATGCAGTCCTGTATAGTTCTGTATTATATCAAGTAATTCTGTGTGGTCGTGAGTTGTTCGGTGTAGTTCTGTGTAGTTCTATATAGTGTCATTAAGTTCCAGTAGTTCCATGCAGTTGTGTAGAGTTCCATCATAGTATGATGTAGTTCCATGCAGTCCTGTATAGTTCTGTATTATATCAAGTAATTCTGTGTGGTCGTGAGTTGTTCTGTGTAGTTCTGTGTAGTTCTATATAGTGTCATGAAGTTCCAGTAGTTCCATGCAGTTGTGTAGAGCTCCATCATAGTATGATGTAGTTCCATGCAGTCCTGTATAGTTCTGTATTATATCAAGTAATTCTGTGTGGTCGTGAGTTGTTCTGTGTAGTTCTGTGTAGTTTTATATAGTGTCATGAAGTTCCAGTAGTTCCATGCAGTTGTGTAGAGCTCCATCATAGTATGATGTAGTTCCATGCAGTCCTGTATAGTTCTGTATTATATCAAGTAATTCTGTGTGGTCGTGAGTTGTTCTGTGTAGTTCTGTGTAGTTCTTTATTGTGTCATGAAGTTCCAGTAGTTCCATGCAGTTGTGTAGAGCTCCATCATAGTATGATGTAGTTCCATGCAGTCTTGTAAAGTTTGTATTATATCAAGTAATTCTGTGTGGTCGTGAGTTGTTCTGTGTAGTTCTGTGTAGTTCTATATAGTGTCATGAAGTTCCAGTAGTTCCATGCAGTTGTGTAGAGTTCCATCATAGTATGATGTAGTTCCATGCAGTCTTGTATAGTTCTGTATTATATCAAGTAATTCTGTGTGGTTGTGAGTTGTTCTGTGTAGTTCTGTGTAGTTTTATATAGTGTCATGAAGTTCCAGTAGTTCCATGCAGTTGTGTAGAGCTCCATCATAGTATGATGTAGTTCCATGCAGTCCTGTATAGTTCTGTATTATATCAAGTAATTCTGTGTGGTCGTGAGTTGTTCTGTGTAGTTCTGTGTAGTTCTATATAGTGTCATGAAGTTCCAGTAGTTCCATGCAGTTGTGTAGAGCTCCATCATAGTATGATGTAGTTCCATGCAGTCCTGTATAGTTCTGTATTATATCAAGTAATTCTGTGTGGTCGTGAGTTGTTCTGTGTAGTTCTGTGTAGTTCTATATAGTGTCATGAAGTTCCAGTAGTCCCATAAATGTCTATATAGTACTTTGATAAATTTCTCCTCAGGGTGGAAGCAAAGCCACAAGTAATGCCGCAGGTGACAATGATGACGATGATGATGAAGATGGAGAGGCTGAAGACATGGAGGCATTTGAGGAGAGTGGGATGCTGGAGGAGACGGATGAGGTACTGTCATTGTTGTTCACCCTCCCACCATTGATCGACCCAATGATCTATGGTCCATGATCCATAATCCTTAATTCAATCAGCTCTGGTAAAGGTTCACATTAGAATTGGTTTTCAGCCACCCATGCTTGTACTAAGAGGCAACCAAAGATATGAGTAATGCAGGCTGGTGTATAAGACTGACTGACTGAGTTTGGTTTACGCCGCTTTTAGCAATATTCCAGCTACATCACGGCGGGGGACACCAGAAATGGGCTTCACACATTGTACCCATGTGGGGATTCGAACCCGGGTCTTCGGCGTGACAAGCCAACGCTTTAACCACTAGGCTACCCCACCGTCCCTGATGTATTAGATTGTATCGAAATTGCTAAGATCAATGCCCATAATGCACTGAAGTTCCTAATCAAGACATGATTATTTCCAGACTGTTGTTACAGCAAGTTATTGTTCAGTGCAGTGTTAAAATAAATACACAATCACACACTGATGCTAGTATGGTTCTGTTTTCAAGTCTTAATTAGTTAGCTCTGTACGTCCCTTTTTCTGGTAACCTTTGTCTTTTACATTGGAAATCACTATGTATCTATGATATTGATGTATAATATGTGAATGTACTTTCAGGGAACTCTCGACACGAGGAAGTCAACAGTGTCGGAGAGCGAGGGTGCTGCTGGCGGAGAGAGCAGTATTATAGCAACCCGGACATACGACCTTAATATTACCTACGATAAATACTACCAGACACCCAGGTTATGGCTGTATGGCTATGATGAGGTCAGTATGATACTCACAGCATTCAGTCGATGTTGTTATGTAATTGTCCCCCGCGGCAACATGGAACAGTTCACTACCAAACATCCCGCTTCACTACCAAACATCCCACTACACTACCACTTCACTACCAAACATCCCACTACACTACCACTTCACTACCAAACATCCCACTACACTTCCAAACATCCCACTTCACTACGACTTCACTACCAAACATCCCACTTCACTACCAAACATCCCACTACACTACCAAACATCCCACTACACTACCAAACATCCAACTTCACTACCAAACATCCAACTTCACTACCAAACATCCCATTTCACTACCACTTCACTACCAAACATTCCACTTCACTACCAAAATCCCACTACACTACCAAACATACCACTTCACTACCAAACATCCCACTTCACTACCAAACATCCCACTTACCTACCACTTCACTACCAAACATCCCACTACACTACCAAACATCCCACTTCACTTCCTCTTCACTACCAAACATCCCACTCCACTACCAAACATCCCACTACACTACCAAACATCCTACTACACTACTACTTCACTACCAAACATCCTACTTCACTACCACTTCACTACCAAGCATCCCACTTCACTACCAAACATCCCACTTCACTACCGAACATCCCAATACACTACCAAACATCCTACTACACTACCACTACACTACCAAACATCCCACTTCACTACCACTTCACTACCAAACATCCCACTTCACTACCAAACATCACACTTCACTACCAAACATCCCACTACACTACCAAACATCCCACTTCACTACCTCTTCACTACCAAACATCCCACTACACTACCAAACATCCCACTACACTACCAAACATCCTACTACACTACTACTTCACTACCAAACATCCTACTTCACTACCACTTCACTACCAAGCATCCCACTTCACTACCAAACATCCAAATACACTACCAAACATCCTACTACACTACCACTTCACTACCAAACATCCCACTTCACTTCCAATCATCCCACTTCACAACAACTTCTCTACCAAACATCCCACTGCACTACCACTTCACTACCAAACATAACACTTCACTACCAAACATCCCACTTCACTACCAAACATCCCAATACACTACCAAACATCCTACTACACTACCACTTCACTACCAAACATCCCACTTCACTTCCAATCATCCCACTACACTACCAAACATCCCACTACTATACCACTTCACTACCAAACATCCCACTTCACAACCACTTCTCTACCAAACATCCCACTGCACTACCACTTCACTACCAAACATAACACTTCACTACCAAACATCCCACTTCACTACCAAACATCCCAATACACTACCAAACATCCTACTACACTACCACTTCACTACCAAACATCCCACTTCACTTCCAATCATCCCACTACACTACCAAACATCCCACTACTATACCACTTCACTACCAAACATCCCACTTCACTTCCAATCATCCCACTACACTACCAAACATCCCACTACACTACCACTTCACTACCAAACACCTTGGTAGTGAAGTGGGATGTTTGGTAGTGTACTGGTAGTGAAGTGGGATGTTTGGTAGTGTAGTGAATTGGGAAGTTTGGTAGTGAAGTGGGATGTTTGGTAGTAGTGAAGTGGGATGTTTGGTAGTGTAGTGGGATGTTTGGTTGTAGTGAAGTGGGATGTTTGGTAGTGTAGTGGGATGTTTGGTAGTAGTGAAGTGGGATGTTTGGTAGTGAAATGGTAGTGAAGTAGGATGTTTGATAGAAAGGTGGGGATAAAAACCAGATAAACAAATCAATCTTAATTTGATGAATTTCTTGTGCTGCAGAACCGTAAACCACTGACAGTGGAGCAGATGTATGAAGACTTCAGTCAAGACCATGCTAAAAAGACTGTTACCATGGAGGCACACCCAAATCTACCAGGACCTTTTAACTAATCCTGCACTACTTACTTCCTGCACTTATTGCTTACGGCTCGAAAAGCTGGCTTGCCAGACGATGTCAAAAGACGAGAACTGCAATCACTTCCTGGTCTCGCTGCTTACTGTTTCCGCGATGCGCCATCGAAGGTGACGCCAGCCACCTCAGATTATTGCTTTTTCGCGACGCTAGACGGTTGTTTGCCAGCTCAACTTGTATCCCACGGGATTATATTTTGTGAAGCATTAATAAAGACTGACTTTGTGTGTATTTTGTTTTTGTACCTCCACAGAAGTGTAGGTATTATCTTTCACTTTCTTTTTGTCATTCAGTAGTTCTGTGTAGTGATGTCGCTCGCTTATACACGGTCCCGCCATCACACTTTCACTTCGCCATTAAAACACTTTGCCGATTTGATACGCCGTTGTGTTTCATTTGGTTCAGGCTTATATACTATACCATATAATAGTGGTATATTTATTGTGCCTGTATTATGGTCTCTTAAACTTTCAGTTATTTTGAGACTTTTGTTCTCAACTTTGCTGTTATATTCATTACTTTGTATGTGCGCTTACTGGGTTTTCTGCTTCATTGCAGATCTATGTACAGCCAGTTGTATACATTGTCGGGTGGGAAGTCTCAGAAAGACCCTCATCCCCGATGTTTGAAATGTACTACTCAATGTACCTCTGGCCATAAATGTGTTAGCTGGCGCTTGTGCTATCACCCAAGAGTTTCTCCGCTTATCTACAGGTTGTTAAGAAGCCTGGGACAACAGAGACGGAAGAGTATGTCTACTACTTGACACCGGGTCTTGACGCACCACTACGCCTACGCCAAGTGTTGCGGGCGCCAACTGTGTCAACGAATGCTTCTGTCACCAGCATTCAGATTATGTCTTCGCCGCTTATGTCGCTGGTGTTACAGCGCTTACGCTTCGGGCGCTTGCAGCTTCGCCGGCGCTTTGATCGGCGGGCGCCTGGCGCTTCGGGCGCTTTGGCACTCCTCACCTCCTCCGCTGTTGCCGATGTCATCTCCACAACGACCGATGGGCCAGCAGTTTGCGCCAGATCAGACACCCCAGCCAGTGTTCCCGGGCAGACGCTTTATGCGATCAACCACATACGGGTTTCCAATGCCTCAGGCGCCTATGATGCAAACGCCATAATGGCCACCAGCAGTTTGATGTATCCACGCCAGCACTCTCTTTGACTTTACTATCAGGTCAAGCCGGTACATCAGCCTATGCCGCTTATGCCACCAGCTACATCGGGCGCTTCTCTACGGCGCTTCCAGCTTTGCCACCTTTGCCACCTCGACGATTTCGGGCGCTCTGCCCCTCCAGCATCGGTGCCTATCTTGTCAACTTTGTTCGCTCCTGTGCCTACGCTTAACGCCTCCCGCTAGGCCCACGCCTTCGCAGGCTTAACATAGGTCGAGACCTCGTGAGTAAGGCGCCTTCTGCTAAGGCGCCGCCTGCACGTAGCCGCTCCCTTTGCCGCTTCGCTCACCGGCCCTCTGAGAGGGACTTTGCCCCAGACTATGAGGAAGACACGGGCTCTAATCACCTTGGCTTTGATCACGGTTTGACTGGATTGTTGATCGCTTAATAGCCTCAGTCCCTTCACCAGGCCCTGATGTTGCAAAGTCACTTACTATTTGGGACTCGCCTTCCTTAATGTTACCAGCACATGAGGCGGTCAGAGAGATTCTCTACCCTTGATGAAGATTTCAAGGGAATGTCTCTCAACCCAACTATTAAAGCTTCTAGAGTACGCCGTGATGACTATCCTATTCATGGCTTGACTTTGCCCAGACAGTGACTAAGGTGGATGAGGAAATGAAACGCGGTGACAGGTTCTTCCTCTGTGTCCTCCTATAAAGTTCAGGATACAAGGGTCGCTGCTTTGGACTTAGAGCTTAAGCTGATGTTCACTCTATATCGGCATTGGCGCCAGCTTACTGATGCCATCACTCAGGATCTTAAGGAAATAAACCGATCGACTGGATCATCTTACAACTATGATGCTATGGCAGGGTAAAGTGATCACTGACCCGCGGAACACCTTAGGTCGGCGCTTGCCAACGCCAAGTATGCAATTCGCCGGCAAGGCTTCCTCTCCTTTCTTCATGGGATTCGAATTTCAGCGAAATTATTCCACCAACCCTGGTCATCGCCGCCACTGTTTAACGATGCCATTCATGATGTTTATCGGCAGGTGTGTGATTTTGCCAAAGGGGAGACTGCCTTGAAAGCGCTTCAAAAGGGACAACGCCCTGCCTCCACGCCATCCAACACCTACCAGCCTCGGCGACCGCCTGTTCGGGCGTACAGAAACTCAGCCGCCTCGCGGCAGGGGACGTGGTGCCAAGCCTAGATCAGACAGGGTGGATATCAACGCCGCTGCGTTCCCCAGGGCGACGGGCGAGGGGCAAGTGAAGTGAGGGACACGCACGACTGGACACTCCCACCTCCAGTCGCCCCAGTTTATCCTACACCGTAGGTGGGAGAATAGGGATCTTTTGGGAAAATTGGTCCATCCTAGAGGATCCATACGCCACCGATATATTGAGGCAGGGGTTTCGCTCCCCTCTCCGATCCACCTCTGACAATGTTCCCGCCCGCACAATCACTCTCAGGTTCAACACAACCTTCTAGCGGAGAACATAGCGATTTTGTTGGAGAAAAGAGCCATCGAACTCCTCCCGTGATCCCATCATAACACCAGGGTTTTATTCTCCAATATTCTTAGTGCCCAAGAAAGGGTCCGCGAAAATGAGGATGATTCACAATCTGTCCTATTTCAACGAGACTTTCCTGGAACGCCCTCCGCGACTTCCAATGACGCCCCTCGAATACCTCAAATCTATGGTATGCGCCAACGACTTTCTCATCAGCCTGGACCTACAGGATGCATACCTCCATGTTCCACATTTCCAGCTTACAGGAAGTACCTGGCGCTTTATTTTCAACAATCAACATTTCCAATGGGCTGTCCTCCCATTTGGAATTTCAACGGCCCCGTGGTTGTTCACACGCATCACAACTCCTATTTCCCGTATCTACATTTGAGGGGCATCAATTTCGACCCGCATCTGGACGCATTGCCTTATGCACCTGTTAGACCGCCTACTTCTTTATACAACAACGGGATTTCACCCTTCGCCTGTTGCGCCAACTAGGGTGGCTGGTCAACTTGGACAAATCGGAGCTTGTCCCGACTCACACTCTGACGCTCATCGGAGGCCATTTCCAGACGGACAAGAACCTAGTTCAGATTCCCTGGACAGGTGGGACAAGATTCAGTCTCTGATTCCACGCGCACTCTCCCAACCTCTGTCCCTCAGAGAGTGGCAGTCACTTCTGGGATTGTTGACGCCGGGCGCAGGATCTTACCAGCAGAGGGCGCCTTCAACTTCGCCCTCTGCAGCGTTTCTTCAACCATACATTCGCCGGGCAGACGCTCATCAACGGTTTTGCCTTCCACCTCAGTTACATCGCTATCTTCTTTGGTGGACTCGCCCCATTGAACGCCTTAGGAGGAGTCTCTTTGACAGAGCAGCCTCCTCCGATTGCCAACTGTTCGTGGACGCCCCTGCAGGGTTGGGGCGCCACTTACACGACTCAGACAGCCTCCGCCTGTGGTCGGGTCAACACATCAACTGGCATATAAACAGTCTGGAGTTGGAGGCCGGATCCTCGCTTATTCATCATTGGGCACATCGACTACGAGGAACTTGTCTTCTAGTGGCTACAGACAACACCACGGTCGTATGGTACATAATGAAGGCAAGGGTCGACACACTCACAGTTTCTCCTCGATCAGACATTTCGCTCTTTCAACTGGTCGACGATCTCCACATTCTGTTGAGAGTGCGCATATTCCGGGTGCCGCAATATACTAGCAGACGCCTCTCGAGACCCGACAGAGTTGTTCCCACGGAGTGGATGCTACACAAGGAGGCCTTCACTCTTTTAAGTCACGACTGGGTTATCCAAACATAGATCTGTTTGCCACCAGCCAAAACCATCAACTGCCAGTGTATGTGTCCCCAGTCCCAGATCCAGCGCTTGGGCGGTGGATGCTCTCAGCCTATCATGGGAGGGACTTCACGCCAGATGCGCTCCCGCCACCAGTTCTATTACCCAAAGTTCTCGCAAAAGTCAAGGAGACAACTTGCTTACTTTACTAATTTTGGTCGCTACTTTGGTGGCCAGCCAGGAACTGGTTTCCCCGCTCTACAAAGTCTAGTGGTAGGAGATCCCTTCCTCTACCCACGGAGGAACGCTCTAGTGCACCTCACAGCCATCTTCCCGTGATCCGCTCCAGACCGATTCAATCTGCACGCATGGACCATTTGCAGAAAGCACTGAGTGCTAAGGGTTTTTCGCTAGAGCAGCCAAAGCCATTGCGACGGGCGCACAGAACTTCTACTAGACATTTGTATGACGACAAGTGGCAGTCGCTTGAACGCTTTTGTGTTACCAAGAAGCAGGATCCGCTGACTGTGTCTCCTCAGTTCATAGCAGATTTCTTACTTTATCTCCAACGCCCAGGCGCCTGAAGGGAGGCACCATTGCCACGCATTTGGCGGCAATTAGCTCTGTTTTAGCGATTCCCACTGACAGAAGGATTTCCAAAATCCCAGAATTACAGGCCATGCTTCGCTTCATTCGGAATTTGAAGACCAGAAGTTGAAGTTTCGCCCACCGCATGGAATCTCAACACTGTTTTAGACCATCTCCGTGGTGCAACCGTGATGAACCTCTTGATAACGCTTCCCTCGCTGATTTATCCAGGAAGACGGCATTTCTGTTGTCATTAGCGACCGCGCTAGAGTGAGTGAGGTTCACGCTTTGACGTGACTAGGATCAAGTTTGAACGCCGCCGCCATGGTTCTGTGCACTTAGGTATGTGTTGGGATTTCATCGCTAAAACCAACTACCAGGACAACCTGATCGCCAGTTTTCCATCCCGCCATTATCATCTATTGTTGGCTCTGAAGACGCGCGGAA